GGCGCGGGGCGCGGGGCGCGGGGCGCGGGGCACGGGTCCGGGGAGCAGTGCAGGGCAGAAATGTAAAAAACCGTGAATGTGGCTGCGGAGATGTGGTGTTACACCCGGACAGCGGCTCGCGGGCACCGCGGTTTTGCCGCGCTGTGCCACGGCTGCGCTATCCCGCTACGGCGACAACGGGGCAACACGGCAGCTTTGCTTCCACCACAATCGGTCTTACTCCGGTAGAGCAGAAGAGCATCGCTGTTCCTCTACTGCGATATTAACAGTCGGGTGCGTTCATACACCGGCTCTGCATGTGACCATCTTCATCTATACACGGTGCCTACGTGTGTATGTGCAATTCATACTTAGTACGGATGCGCTACATCCAGAGTCGCCATCCCTCTGTATAAGTAACACAGAGTTACATACATACATGGATACATATAATTATATATAGTTACACATAGTTACATGTATATAGTTAGACATAACGATATGCATACAGTTATATATCGTAATGCGCAGTTACATATATGTAACTAATTATTACTTATGTATGGGGTGGAGACTATGTTTGTATCCATCCACCCGTGTGTGTGTGTGTGTGTGTGTGTGTGTGTGTGTGTGTACATTTGGGTGGATGGATACAAACATATACATTACATATACACAAAATATATACATTATACACACACACACACGGGTGGATAGATACAAACAGTCGCCATCCCTGTACATAAGTAACGTGAAGTAATACATAGCTACACTATATGTAAGTAATACATGTAGGCTTGTGTCTACACACGCACACATATATCGTTTATGCAATCTAATACAATACACCATGGCACGGTACAGCACAGTAAACTTATAATATAACATAACATAACATAATATAACACAACATAATACAATATAACATAATATAATATAATATAATGTATTTATTGTATTGTATTATACGATTCGCTTAGTTTCGATTCAGGGAAATACGACGCGATGCGATGCGGTGCAGACTGACACAACACAGCACAGCACAAAGCGGTCCAATATAATATAATATAATATAATATAATATAATATAATATAATAT